AGCACGCCAAACGCCCTTACTATTTGTGTGTTTGCCATGTTTGACTCAAACTTATATGTGACTCGAACATCAAGCTCAACACTAGTCATGAAATGCCATCTTATCCACCTTTCCAATTTTTTTTTCTACAAAAGGAGGCAGACACAAGACTTTTTTTTTTTCTGTTTTATACCCATATTGCTTTAGTCCTAACCTAATAATATCATCTGTATTTGTATTTATACAATATCTAAAGCTGTATCTAAATTAATCCTATGATAAAACAAAACATATTTTTTTATTTCACATTTATTAATTTCAAAATAACAATTTTATGATTATCAAAGTGTTTTATTAATCTGCTTGCAGTCTTCTTGTTACTTTTATTTTGTATTGTGTCCACTTGTTACTTTGTATAACAATTGTTCACTTTACAAGCTTGCTACTTTACTTCCATCTAGTGCAGCGGTTCTCAACCTGGGGGTCGAACGACTCTTTCACAGGGGTCGCCTAAGACCATCGGAAAACACATATTTCCGATGGTGTTAGGAACCGAGACACCGCTGCTCTATCCGTCTCCAGGTGTGGGCGGGATGACATGCCGCCCCTGTCATCTGGACACACCTTCGAGATCCTCGCCGGTGATTGGCCGCCGGAACTGTAGCTCAGGAGAGGCACACAGGCGGCCAATCACCGGCGAGGAGGTGGAGCTTGGAGAGGAGGAGCCGAGCGGCACCGCGAAGATCGAGCGAGTGAAGAGGAGGAGAGCGGCCGGAGAAGGAAGACAGCTGACAGGTAAGTGTCTGTACCATGGGAGAGGGAGGGAGCGAGCCCAGGCTGGAGCAGGGGTCAGCAAGGTAAGTATCATTGGTGTCAGTGGGAGGAATAGTGCCCCATCATTGGATTCACTACTACCAATGATGGGGCACTATTCCTCCCACTGACACCAACGATGGGGCACTATTCCTCCCCCCACTGACACCAACGATGGGACACTATTCCTCCCCCCACTGACACCAACGATGGGGCACTATTCCTCCCCCCACTGACACCAACGATGGGGCACTATTCCTCCCCCCACTGACACCAACGATGGGGCACTATTCCTCCCCCCACTGACACCAACGATGGGGCACTATTCCTCCCCCCACTGACACCAACGATGAGGCACGATTCCTCCCCCCACTGACACCAACGATGAGGCACGATTCCTCCCCCCACTGACACCAACAATGGGGCACTATTCCTCCCCCCACTGACACCAACGATGGGGCACTATTCCTCCCCCCACTGACACCAACGATGCGGCACTATTCCTCCCCCCATTGACACCAACGATGGGGCACTATTCCTCCCCCCACTGACACCAACGATGGGGCACTATTCCTCCCCCCACTGACACCAACGATGGAGCACTATTCCTCCCTCACTGACACCAACGATGGGGCACTATTCCTCCCACTGACACCAACGATGGGGGCACTATTCCTCCCACTGACACCAACATTGGGGCATTATTCCTCCCCCTGATACCAACGATGGGGCACTATTCCTCCCACTGACACCAGTGATGGGGGTGCTATTCCTCCCACTGATACCAATGTTGGGGCACTTTTCCTCCCACTGACATCAGTGATGGGACACTTTTCCTCCCACTGACATCAGTGATGGGACACTTTTCCTCCCACTGACACCAGTGATGGGACACTTTTCCTCCCACTGACACCAGTGATGGGACACTTTTCCTCCCACTGACACCAATGATGGGGCACTATTCCTCCCACTGACACCAATGATGGGCACTATTCCTCCCACTGACACCAATGATGGGGCACTATTCCTCCACTGACACCTATGATGGGGCACTATTCCCCCCACTGACACCAATGATGGGGCACTATTCCCCCCACTGACACCTATGACGGGCACTATTCCTCCCACTGACACCAATGACGTGGCACTATTTCTCCCACTGACACCAATGACGGGGCACTATTCCTCCCACTGACACCAATGACGGGGCACTATTCCTCCCACTGACACCAATGACGGGGCACTATTCCTCCCACTGACACCAATGACGGGGCACTATTCCTCCCACTGACACCAATGATGGGCACTATTCCCCCCACTGACACCTATGATGGGGAACTATTCCTCCCACTGACACCTATGATGGGGCACTATTCCTCCCACTGACACCAATGATGGGGCACTATTCCTACCACTGACACCAATGATGGGGCATTATTCCTACTACTGATACCAATGATGGGGCACTATTCCTCCCATTGACATCAGTGATGGGACACTATTCCTCCCACTGACACCAACGATGAGGCACTATTCCTCCCCCCACTGACACCAACGATGGGGCACTATTCCTCCCCCCACTGACACCAACGATGGGGCACTATTCCTCCCCCCACTGACACCAACGATGGGGCACTACTCCTCCCCCCACTGACACCAACGATGGGGCACTATTCCTCCCCCCACTGACACCAACGATGGGGCACTATTCCTCCCCCCACTGACACCAACGATGGGGCACTATTCCCCCCCACTGACACCAACGATGGGGCACTATTCCTCCCCCCACTGACACCAACGATGGGGCACTATTCCTCCCCCCACTGACACCAACGATGGGGCACTATTCCTCCCCCCCACTGACACCAACGATGGGGCACTATTCCTCCCCCCACTGACACCAACGATGGGGCACTATTCCTCCCCCACTGACACCAACGATGGGGCACTATTCCTCCCACTGACACCAACATTGGGGCATTATTCCTCCCCCTGATACCAACGATGGGGCTGCTATTCCTCCCACTGACACCAGTGATGGGGGTGCTATTCCTCCCACTGATACCAATGATGGGGCTGCTATTCCTCCCACTGATACCAATGTTGGGGCACTTTTCCTCCCACTGACACCAGTGATGGGACACTTTTCCTCCCACTGACACCAATGATGGGGCACTATTCCCCCCACTGACACCAATGATGGGGCACTATTCCTCCCACTGACACCAATGATGGGGCACTATTCCTCCCACTGACACCAATGATGGGGCACTATTCCTCCCACTGACACCAATGATGGGGCACTATTCCTCCCACTGACACCAATGATGGGGCACTATTCCTTCCACTGACACCTATGATGGGGCACTATTCCCCCCACTGACACCAATGATGGGGCACTATTCCCCCCACTGACACCTATGACGGGGCACTATTCCTCCCACTGACACCAATGACGTGGCACTATTTCTCCCACTGACACCAATGACGGGGCACTATTCCTCCCACTGACACCAATGACGGGGCACTATTCCTCCCACTGACACCAATGACGGGGCACTATTCCTCCCACTGACACCAATGACGGGGCACTATTCCTCCCACTGACACCAATGATGGGCACTATTCCCCCCACTGACACCTATGATGGGGCACTATTCCTCCCACTGACACCTATGATGGGGCACTATTCCCCCCACTGACACCTATGATGGGGCACTATTCCTCCCACTGACACCTATGATGGGGCACTATTCCTACCACTGACACCAATGATGGGGCATTATTCCTACTACTGATACCAATGAAGGGGCACTATTCCTCCCATTGACATCAGTGATGGGACACTATTCCTCCCACTGACACCAATGACGTGGCACTACTCCTCCCACTGCAAAATTACAGTTATGAAGTAGCAACGAAAATAATATTATGGTTGGGGGTCACCACAACATGAGGAACTGTATTAAGGGGTCGCGGCATTAGAAAGGTTGAGAACCACTGATCTAGTGGCTTCACAGTGATGGTACAATAGTATATCCCATGGTGTATTTCATGTCCTAGAGCAGGGGTAGGCAACCTTAACCTCTTGGCGCCAACCAAACGCAAATGTGCGGCCTCCTGGTGTCTGGTCCTAGATGCCGAGCAGCCGCACATTTGCGCTCTATTAAAAAAAATATGTGCTGAGAGCACACGCCCTGCGCACTCCCAGCACACATGTTCGGTACTCATAGAAAGGTCCCTATCTCCTCTTTCGATCGGGACCTTTCCTGATCATGTGACGGCAAATCACGGTGGTCACATGACCCCCGCCTCTCGGCTTCTGAAACCCTTAAAGGGCCGGGAGGCACCGGCGCCAAGGGGTTAAAGAGGTGGAGATCTACCTGAACAACATGGGAGAAGTCAAAGATCACCGGGAACAGTGTTGACCAGTGTCACCTCCTCACAGTTAATTTAAACCTCTAATTGCCATACCACCGTGTCACAACCGTGTGCATTGCATGGCAATCATGGGATTACATCAGGTATTGAGGAGGCAACATACCACCTCCTCAACACCTGTCAATCATACTTGGATCGCTTTACAGAGGAGCAGTAGTGTCTGCTGCACTTGTGAATGAGCATCCAGCAGCGGCACTCTTAGGGTTCGTTTACATGTAAAATTGGGGGGTGCTAAAACCCTACGGTTAAGTCATGATTTTACCACCCCTAATCCCTACCCCCTTTAGCTGCTGAGGCAGCAGCCAAATGTATACACATGCCGCAGCAGGAATTACACCCCCTGTTTCTTTTGGTAGGTGCTACCGCCTGTCATTCGAGGCTCATTCAAATAAATGGGGCACTCTGTAGGTGCCCCGCAACTGCATGCTTCTACGGAGTCCAAGGTGGTGAGAAAGCAACACACCGCTGCCTGTTTAACCCCTTGTTTTCCCTGTTGTCTGTATTGCACAAGGTTGCAAGGCACTTGCACAGTGGTCTCATTCACTTGAATGGCAGGCGCTACACCCATCAACAATGACAGGGTGTAGGAGCCGGCACTACAGAGGAGACCTCAACTTATGCGGCTCTTGCTCCCTACTACATCTCCAACTTTACAAGTAATCCCTCTCAGGGGTGGACTGACAACTCATGGGGCCCCCGGGCAATAGGGGATCATGGGGCCTCTGTATCTTGCCCAAACACAAAAAAGCCTATGAAAAAAGTACCAGGGGCATCTCATGGGGCCCCCTACTGACCCCAGGCCCTCGGGCAGTGCCCGAGTTTCCAAATGGTCAGTCCGCCCCTGGTCCCTCTGCATTGCACTCTGATGCTCTGGGATGGGGGGTCAGCAAGCCCAGACCGAGATCTACCAGTCACCTGGCCACGATCTACTGGTTCCCAACCCCCCGTCCTAGAGGATGTGACATGGGCCCATTGCAGGTGGTATTCATGTTTTCAATGTGCAATGTGTAATGCTACATAGATCAAGACAACAGCTTGATGTGCACAATCATGTTATTCTGTGAAATAAATAATCAGGCTGGAATATATTGTTGTGAGTTTAGAGTTTGTTTTGTGTAATAATGAAAAAAGTTTCTCTTTCAGTTCTGTAACAATTGAGGTTAACCTCTATTTATGAAGAAACGTCACCAACACACCAAGGATTCCTCAAACGGGTCCACAGATTTATTCCATGGTCACATAGGCAACGTTTCGGAGCCACACGGGGCCCCTTCGTCAGGCTTTGGCCAATCATGATGATACAGAGTGTGACACATATAATCCCTCTAAAGTTGCAAATGAATGAAACGAATGAATAGGAATTCATTTTCATTATTTTTGGATTCATTGACCAGGGCAGCACAGTGGCTAAATGGGTAGCACTTCTACCTGGTAGTACTAGGGTCGCTAGTTCAAATCCCAACCCCGGCACCACCTGCCTGGAGTTTGCATGTTTTCCCTGTGACTGCGTGGGTTTCCTCTGGGTACTCCGGTTTCCTCCCATACTCCAAAGACATGCTGGTAGGTTAATTGGCTCCTGTCTAAATTGTCCCTAGTATGTATATGTATGAATGTGAGTTAGGGACAGGGGCAGACTGACCATTTGGAAACTCGGGGTCAGTAGGGGGTCAGTAGGGGGCCCCATGAGATGCCTCTTGTACCTTTTTCATAGGCTTTTTTGGGTTTGGGCAAGGACACAGGGGCCCCATGATCCCCTATTGCCCGGGGGCCCCATGAGTTGTCAGTCCGCCCCTGGTTAGGGACTTTAGATTGTACGCCCCTTGAGGGTTAGGGACTGATGTGAATGTACAATATATATGTAAAGCGCTGCGTAAATTGACGGCGCTATATAAGTACCTGTAATAAATAAATATATATATATATACACTGTCCCAGTACTTCCACTCCCTCTGCTGGTTATGTTTGGTATTGCTATTTGTTCCATATCTCTATATATTATATACTGTACTAATTTTGTGGTAATGTAAGATACTACATTATAATACAGATATAGTACACTATACTATTTTTGTAAAAGATCCAGGATACATATTTTTAGTCATTTTTGCTTTTATTTATAATACTGAAATCTCACACGCTAGCACAATAAATGTCAAATATTATAAATATACAAATAAACACAAACAAATATTATAAGTGATTTCTGCAACTGTTGTCATGTGTTCCCACTCCAAAAATATTTCAAAATAGAAAATAAAACTCAAACAATATCTAAATATGTATCATCTAAATCAAATGTGTTTCTAAATAAGTGAAACATAAATATAAAACACAATATCACAGTGTCTGTTCCTTTGAAATGATAGTGAAAGTCCATAAAAGATATTAGTCGACTTCTGTGAAATAACTGATAAAGTCCATTTTGTCTTCCACTCTCAAATTTAGATCCAAGCAATTGCGCACAGTGAATATATTGCAGATCATCACCAGAAACGTGCTTCCTTTGCCTTCCAACTAAGCTGCTTACCTCAGATTTTGACCTATTCAAAGCTAGGTCAAATTATGCCTTTAGGAAGGGGCTATCTTTCCACATGACTTTCTACGATTACAAACACCTTTTTTTCATATGTAGCTCAAAAGAATAAATGAAAAAGCCTCATTGCACAATATAGCAGCTCAACAGACTAATATATTACAAAAAAAGGTTTATATCTCACTTACAAAAAATTGCTCTTCATCCAGTGCACATAGCATTGAGTGTCTCTTTAAACAAGAGTTTCCCCCTCAAGGCAAAACTTTGGCTTCAGATACCTATCCAAGATGGCAGTCTTCTGGTTCCTGCTTAGCGTAATGACATCATCCGGCCATGATTTTGACGCATTTCATCATCCAATCATGACTGCTTCACTAGCCTCAACGTTAGGTGCTTCTGAAGCAATCATGATTGGATGACGAAACGTGTCAAGGGCGTGGCCGGATGGCATCATTACGCTAAGCAGGAACCCAAAGTCGTCCATCTTGGATAGGTATAGGTATTGTCAGGGATCCTGTCGCCGTGCAACGGTGCGACGGATCCCCTTGAGTCGTGGCGGTGCGAGTGCGCAGGTGCGGGAGCGTGCGGTCGCCCATGCGCAGGAGCGCAGAAAACTTGCGCATGCGCAGTAAGCGCACACATCACGTCAGGCAGGCTAGTAAAACCTCGCACATGCGCAGTAAGCGCACACGTCACGTTAGCCGGGCTATTTAAACCTGCTTAGTAGTAAAATCATTGCCTTCTGGTCTACTACGTTCCTGCATACATTCCTGATCCTGATACCTGTATTTTGCATTACCCGACTAAGAAAGAACTCCGCCTGCACTGACCTCGGCTATCCCTGACCATTCTCTTGCCTGCTCCTTTTGTACTTATCTGCCCGCTTGATACTGACCTGGCTTGCCTGACTCTGCTATATTATCCTGCCTGCACCTGGCCTGCATCTTGTCGGCTACCATATCCATCTACCCCTGCACCCTCGGCTCTGCATCTGGTGCGAATCCGGATCACTGCCATACCTGTCGGCCACCGCATCCACGCACTGGTGCTCGGTCCCAAGACCCGCATCCTGACTGCCGCCTCACCTGCTCGCTGCTGCACCTACGTTCCTGCACCCACACCTGGCTTGTGTCCGGATCTCCTGGGTCCCCAGCTACCTGCCGACCACTTCAAGATCTACACAGTACTCCTGCCCCTTCTGGCTCTGCGCCCCTGTTCCCACTTCCAGGGGCTCCGAGCAGGAGTTGTAAGAGGACGCCCTCTCTCCACTTCAGGCTCCCCAACCAGGTACGTGACAGGTATAGATCTTGGATAGGTATCTGAAACCAAAGCACAGGCGATTAAATACCACCGAAAGAAAGCTCAATTCGTGGGAAAAAAAGAACGTAAATTTCATTTTGGTGCAGCGTTGCATGACCGTGCAATTGTCAGTTAAAGTAACGCAGCGCCGTGACACAAACCGCTTCTGTAACCGCCCTATAGCAGAAATACTGCTACAGGGCGGCATGGGTGCGCAAAATCACATGTATACGTACGTTATTCGCACTCCCGTGGTTTTCACGCCCCTCCCAGATAGCATCAGATTCAGTACACCAGTCATCACAATTAACTCCTTGATTGCCAGGAAGACGCTCATACAAAATAAACCTCCATTGCTAGTATAGTGTCTGAAAGGGTCAATATCATTGATCAGATCAGCACTATACCAGCGTTCACATTAGTATAGTGTCCCCAAAAATGCAGCGTTAGTGGGATCAGCCCCAGCACCTGCGTTTAGCCCTTACACTTACCCCCCCCCCCTCTCCCCCAGCAAGTGCAGTGTCGGTAGGTCACTGTCACTTGATACATTGCACACAAAACCGCAGTGTTCGCAGAATCAGGCTGATCTCTGTTAGCACTTGCCGGTAAATTTTGATGACTCTCATATGCAGCAGAGTGCCAGTACTAGTGCCACGCTACCTTTTGGTGAACTGGCGAGTACCAGTAGCCTAGTACATCCTGGTATTTCACATACCAGCACTGCAGTATCACTTGGTGACGTGGCGAGTCCAATAAGTGCAGTACAAGTGCAGTACAAGCTGGTGCGGGGGCGAGCACAAGTATTGTCCCGCAACCACCAAGAATTCACACACAGGCTCGTAGAGCCCCTAGTGTCCTTCCGGATGTGCTTATAAATCCTGATTGGCAGCCCACAAATTCTGCAGCACCCGTACTTCCCCCATTCACTGCCCAACCCGGAATTCAGGTAGAAACAGCAAATTTAACTACTCCCCTTAATTTTTTGGAGCTGGTTTTCACAGAAGATCTGTATGCGTTGATTGTGGATCAAAGCATTTTATATGCACAACAATTTATCGCTGCCAACCCAAATTCAAACCTTGTCAGACCAGTCGCATGGAAACTCATTACGGTTTTCAAATTTACATTTTTTTTGGGGCCCTCTGTGTACATGAGTTTTGCTTATTAGGTGATCTCTGGTAAATCCTCTAGAGGGCAAGTGGTTAAAGTTAAAATTTTGATTGGTCACCAGAACAGGAATAAATGGGATATCTTCCAATGGGAACACCCAGTTCTGTTGACAATCAGGGATTTCCTCTCACTTCCTGTTTTGGCTATGGGACAGGAACCGAAGAGAAATCTCCCCAATGGGACACAGACCCCAAAAACACTGACAGGGTTTATAATCCAGCCTCCCTTACCCCAGGTTCACACCTAAGCATTTTCTGCAGTGTTTTTCAGAAACACAGTACAGTCCATTTAATATGATTTCCTATGGGACATGTTCACATCTGTGCGTTTTCAACCGATGATTTTTTTGAACGCAAAATGTTGTGTTTTTGGTTCTATAGACTTCAATGGAAACGCTGCAGAAAAGCATATATGGCATTTTTGCCTAGCAACAAGAACAATTTATAAAAATGAAAGAACAAAATGCAAAACACATTAAAAACGCAGCAAAAATGCAAAACGCAATGCAGAAATGGCTCAAGCGCAACCTACATAGGTGTGAACCTAGCACCATCCAAAATGAAAAAAAAAAGTTTTGCCTTTAGTTCCACTTAGGTCTTCTTTGATTATTTAAAATGAAATCCAACCTGATGGACATTGTGACTTCGCACAGCTGCGGTGTCTCCTGGACAGCACAGTTCTAGGTCAATACAAAATCTGTATACAGCCCATTCTGTTGTACGCTTCAATCTGCACAATAACACAGCTGGATCATCTGGAACGTTTGTTGTTTCTCAGCTGATTTCTCAACAATGAGGATGCAGGGTGGGTGTTTTGGCACATTCCGTAATTCCTAAAACTCCGCAGGGCAAAAAAAATGCAGGAGACTGCTAGTGGGAATGATCGGTAAATTATATAATCTCATATAAACTCTTGTTCTGGATGTTTTGAGTCTACGTTTTTATACCCTCTCTTCAATCATAAGAGTTGTGTTTACGTCTGCGTTCACACTGATGCAGTACGGAATTCACACTGCGATTTCTGCACCACATCATAATCGCACCCCGTTCATAGAAACCACTGCGGGTGTGTATTTTAAAGTGTTACTAACCCCAGGACCCTGCATTCACTATATCCGCTCTCCCCGGACCCTGCATTCACTATATCTGGTCTCCCCAGACCCTGCATTCACTATATCCGCTCTCCCCAGACCCTGCATTCACTATATCCGGTCTCCCCAGACCCTGCATTCACACTATATCTGGTCTCCCAGGACCCTGCATTCACTATATCTGCTCTCCCCGGACCCTGCATTCACTATATCTGCTCTCCCCGGACCCTGCATTCACTGTATCTGGTCTCCCAGGACCCTGCATTCACTATATCTGGTCTCCCCGGACCCTGCATTCACTATATCTGGTCTCCCAGGACCCTGCATCACTATATCTGCTCTCCCCGGACCCTGCATTCACTATATCTGGTCTCCCCGGACCCCGCATTCACTATATCTGGTCTCCCCAGACCCTGCATTCACTATATCTGGTCTCCCAGGACCCTGCATTCACTATATCTGGTCTCCCCGGACCCTGCATTCACTATATTCGGTCTCCCCGGACCCTGCATTCACTATATCTGGTCTCCCCGGACCCCGCATTCACTATATCTGGTCTCCCCAGACCCTGCATTCACTATATCTGGTCTCCCAGGACCCTGCATTCACTATATCTGGTCTCCCCGGACCCTGCATTCACTATATTCGGTTCGGTCTCCCCGGACCCTGCATTCACTATATCTGGTCTCCCCGGACCCTGCATTCCCTATATCCAGTCTCTCACAGTACACGCAACATGGAAATGCAATTATTTTAGTAAATATAAACTGCAAATACCTTTTCTCATCAGCAGTTAGAGCAGTCTTGTGACTTCTATCAGTGTCAGGCAGAGCACTGGTTAAAGCTTGTAGGAGGCGTTTTCATTCTCCCCTGATTGTCCAATGAGGCTGCAGGACCCCTGACCCTCTGTCTCGACAGCGCTGATTGGCCCTGTGATGATCACATGCACTCTCCCAAGAAAAAAAAAAAAAACCTCTCAAACCATATATACCAGTTTGAGCATGCGCAGCTGGCCCCAAGGCTCTGTTCTATCAGGAGATGGATTAGAGACAATAGAAGGGGAGGATCAGAGAAGACAGGATCAAACATCCTTTTTACACAATGAGGAGGTTTAACCCCTTAGATTCAACAGTGAGTATAACAAGTATGCTTTACTGCATATACAGACTGATTTTACTGTAGTGGGTTTAGTCAGTGGTGTCCCTAGGCACGCCGCACCTGGTGGCACCGATAGCATGGAGTGACACCGGACCCTCTCCACAAGCTCCATGAAAAGGAAAGTTTTAGATCAAGCTGACGATCCCTGCAGGATGGATCGGATCTGCGGATTGAGCATAATGGTTTGGAGTCTGACCCATTATCCTCCCCAGTCCGCAGATCCGATCCCTCTTGCGGGGATCATCAGCTTGCAACCTATACAGGGCTAACTGATCTAGATAAGGCTGTGCAAGATCCGGCCAGGAAATGCGGTCGCGGTAGCAGGAACCTCCTCCATCTGACATCACTTCTCGAGCATGTGCTGACCGGACCGGTGTGGAAAGATCAGTTAACCCTGTTTAGGTTGCAAGCCGACGATCCCCGCAAGATGGATCGGATCGGATCTGCAGATTGGGGAGCATAATGGATCGGCGTCGGATCCATTATGCTTACTCTGCAGATCCGATCCATCCTGTGGGGATCATCTGAGGGGTGACACCAACCCTAGAGATGCCCCTGGGTTTAGTAACATGACACCCTGAAATCACTTCATAAAACACAGTGTGAACATCCATGCTATCTGATTCTGGTGCGTACTAAAAAAGGGTCCTGCAATTTTTTGGTAAAGATGCGGTCCAATTTGAACCATACAAAATATATGTGATTTGCATAGGAATGTAGTGCGATTCCTGTGCAAATCACATGCGATGTGCCGCACCGCATCAGTGTGAACCCGGACCAAGGGTGGACTGACAACTCATGGGCCCCCCGGACAATAGGGGATCATGGGGCCACTGTGTCCTTGCCCACACTCAAAAAAGCCTATAAAAAGGTACCAGGGGCATTTCATGGGGCCCCCTACTGACCCCGGACCCTCGGCCAGTGCTCAAGTGCTTGAATGGTCAGTCCGCCCCCGACCCGGACTAAAGGTTCATCCAACCCAGAACTGATCATTTCGTTTTTGGTTTTGGTACTGGAGTGCTAAGCCACCTTGCAGATTATTGTATCCATGTGTTGGCAGGTGCCAGGAATTCTAGGCTGCCCAAGATTGAAGGGGTTAACACCGGTTCTGTCGTGTTCCTGGGCTTTTATGGGCTCTGCCCTCCACCCTGTGATGTATTAAAAAAAAGGGGGAAGACTCGTTCCAGGGGGTTCCGGAGGACTGCATAGGAGAAAAGTAAGAGGTTCAAAGAAGAGGATGTAACCAGGAGCAACCCCCCAACTACAACACCAAGGAAGCCTACTTGCTAAGGACATTGCCATGTATGGACCATGTATGGACCACTACCTGATCATACTACATAGTTAGGCATGTTTCCAAGTGATTGTGATCCCCAATCAATGGCATTTGGTGCACATCAGCTGGAGAGGAGTAGAGCTTGTCTTTAACCCCTTGCCTACCGGGCACTTTTACCCCCTTACTGCCTACCGGGCACTTATACCCCCTTCCTGCCTACAGGGCACTTATACCCCCTTCCTGCCTACAGGGCACTTCTACCCCCTTCCTGCCTACAGGGCACTTCTACCCCCTTCCTGCCTACAGGGCACTTATACCCCCTTCCTGCCTACAGGGCACTTCTACCTCCTTCCTGCCTACCGGGCACTTCTATCCCCTTCCTGCCTACAGGGCACTTCTATCCCCTTCCTGCCTACAGGGCACTTATACCCCCTTCCTGCCTACAGGGCACTTATACCCCCTTCCTGCCTACCGGGCACTTCTACCCCCTTCCTGCCTACCGGGCACTTCTACCCCCTTCCTGCCTACCGGGCACTTCTACCCCCTTCCTGCCCAGGCCAATTTCCAGCTTTCAGCGCTGTCACACTTTGAATGACAATTGCGCGGTCATGCAACCCTGTACATATATGAAATTTTTATCATTTTTTTGAGACAGATAGAGCTTTATTTTGGTGGTATTTAATCACCTCTGGGGTTTTTATTTTTTCTTAAACCAAAAACCACTGAAAAGTTTGAAAAAAAAAAGCTTTTTCTTAGTTTTTGCTATACAATTTTATAAATAAGTGATTTTTCTCCTTCACTGATGTACGCTAATGAGGCTGCAGTGATGGGCACTGATAGGTGGCACTGATGAGGAGGCACTGGTAGGTGGCACTGATGGGCATTGACAGGCATCACTGATGGGCACTGAAAGGCAGCACTCATATATGGCACTGATACGGCACTGACTGGCACTGATTGGCAGCACTGATAGGCGGCACTGATAGATGGCACTGATGGGTGACACTGAAAGGCAGCTCAGATGGTCACTAAAATGTGGCATTGATGTGCATTGGTAGGCACTGATATGTGGCATTGATGTGGCACTGGCAGGTGGCATGGATGAGCACTGACAGCTGGCATTGATGGACACTAACAGGTGGCACTGCTGGGGCTACAAAGATGATCAGTGTACATGTCCCCTCTGAGGAATGACGATTACCGGCTCTCCTCTCCTGTCAGCGTGACAGCTCGAGAGCAGAGAAATGCCGATAACCGGCATTTCCCTATTTACATGCGATCAGCTGTGATTGGACACAGCTGATCACATGACCGAGCAGACATCTTTGGCTCTTTCTGTTGATCTCCTGTGTCCGAGGGACACAGGGCACCACCGATCGCCGCTCTGCAGCTCCGAGCCACGCATGCGCGGTTAGAACGGGAGGACGTCATATGACATCCTCCCAGAACAAGAGAACTGCCTTGCGACCGTCATTGTACTATATGACGGATGGGAGGTGGTTAAAATAGAGATCTGAACCTTAGGGTAGGGGTGTCAAACTAACTTTCATTACGAGCCACATCAGCATTATGGTTGCCATGAAAGTGCCGGTTGTATCTGTAAGACTAGATGTCCAGAGCCCCCACCCCCCTTACATCAGATGTCAAGAGCAACCCTCACCATCAGAAGTCAAAAGTCCCCCACCCTCCCTTACATCACAGTGCACCCCCCTTACCTTGTACTGGTGCCAGAAAGAAGCTGGGGACGAAGCTGGGAAATAAATTGTGCAGGGTCTGGAGCAGGACCAGAGGAGTGCTGGTGTCAGCTGTCAGAGTCTGTTGAATGCTGAGACCAGGGAAGGTGGAGATGAGGGGATGTTGGGGCTGCACATAGAAGTGCAGGATCTGTAGGAGGAGTTCTGTCCTCCTCTCTGCTGTCGACTGTTGAGAATGGGAGGCTGAGAAAAACCTGTCCACAGCTGCATGAAGAAGCACAGAAGGTCTGTCCTCCTCTCTACTGCTGAGACAAGGTGGGAGTAAGACAAGAGGGGTGCCAGAGCTGCAGGAGAGGTGTGAGGACCACATGAAATGGCCTGGTGGTCCGTATTCAGCCCAAAAGCCTTGTATTTGACACTCTGAGTAGGCACTGTTGAGAGCAGGGGTCTCCAAACTTTGTAAGTAAAGGGCCGGTTTACTGTCCTTCATACTTTAGGGGGGCCAGAATATGTCCCGGCATCAGTGGGAATAAACAATACCCCATCTTTGGTGTTAGTGAGGGGAATTGTGCCCCATTGTTTGTGTCATTGGGCTCCATTCTTGGTATCACTGGGATGAACTGTACCCCATCTTTGGTGTCATTGGTTGGAATTGTGCCCCATCGTTGGTATCACTGGGAAGAATTAATTGGTGTCAGTGGATTAAATAATGCCCCACGGGCCAGAGAAAAGCAAGCAATGGGCCGCATCCGGCCCCTGAGCCGCAGTTTGGAGACCATTGGTTTAGAGTGAAACACATTGGAGACCTCTTTTTTCCGTTATGTACCCCATTTTAGCACAGTAAAGGATTTTGCATCATACACCGGATTGGCCCTCATCCATTGCTTGCAATCTACTTTAACAGCTCCCCCTCTGCCTTATAGCAGAAATATTGCTACAGGGTGGCAGGGGGGCGCAAAATCACATATATATGTACGTGATTTTGCAGTTCAGGGTAGGGGGTGCATGCGTGCCCTACCTGTGCCGCCATTCCCGGCACCAGCTGTCAATTGTCGGGTCCAGAGCCATACAAAGCAGTGTGCTCACAGTGGAAATCACACATGCAGCACATAATGTGAAACAGCACACAGTTAACCCTTTGATCGCCCCAGATGTTAACCCTTTACTGCCAAATGCCATTGGTAAAGTGTCAGTGCTTTTTATTAGCACTGATCACTGTATAAGTGTCACTGGGGAAGTCAGTGACACCAAGTCAGTTCCCCCCAGTGTCAGAATGCCAGCCACAGTCCCGCTATAAGTTGCTTCATCGCCGCCATTACTAGTAAAAAACAAAATTCCAGTATATATACCATTTGTAATTGCTATAACGTTCACATAAACCAATGAATTTACACGTACTGGGATTTTTTTTTTAAGC